AAGTGAGTTGATACAATTAAGTCGCCTTACCATACCACGGTGGATCGGGACTCAAGCTGAAGATTATTTTGAGCTGCAAGGTTTTTGCGATGCTTCGAAAGATGCATATGCAGCCGTTATCTATGCAAGGGTGATCAACTGTAACAGAAAGGTTAGTGTCGCCTTGTTGTCTGCAAAAACAAAGGTTGCACGTGTACTGATTCAATGGTGGTCCTTGCATGGTTGAACAGTACGCCTAATCGTTGGAAGGTTTTCGTGGCTAATAGGGTGTCAGAGATCATCACTAGTCTAGACTCACACCACTGGTCACACGTTACATCTAAATGTAATCCAGCTGATATTGCTTCAAGGGGCTTGTATCCACTAGAACTGGTGGAGAATGAAATGTGGCTTCAAGGTCCGGAATTTCTGAAAAAGGAAAACATAAATTACACAAAAGTCAAAGACAATATTACTGATATAGAAATGGTTAAAGTTAAAACATGCTGTACAATAGTAGAAACAATAGAGGAAAGATTTTCGTCACTGACTAGATTAATAAGAGTTTTAGCATATTGTAAGCGATTCATTCACAATTCTAAAGACAAAGGCATAAAGCATGTTGGGTATTTGACAACCAAGCAGTTGCGAGAAACAAAAAAATATTTAATAATAAAATGTCAATATTTAAGTTTTAGTACGGAAATAGACTGCTTAAATAAAAAAGATAACTTACCAAAGCGTAATATTCTCCGATCATTGAATCCATTTTTGGACGATGAAGGTCTATTAAGAGTAGAGGTAGACGCAAAGTCAAACTTAAATGAAGATCGCAAGCACCCAATATTGATACCTAAGAAGTCTGATTTGACGAATCTTCTCATATTGGATGCTCATAAGCAGACTCTTCATGGAGGACCGCAACTTATGATGTCCTATTTGCAGTCTACTTACTGGATATTAGGTATCAAGCAGCTTATACAATCTTGTTTTCGTAAATGCGTAACATGTGCCAAGAATACAGGCAATATACGGTCATAGCTGATGGGACAGTTACCATCTAGTAGAGTAGTACCTACACGACCCTTTAAATCTTGTAGCATGGATTATGCAGGTCCCATACAATTGCGGACCACTAAGGGACGTGGTTATAAGTCATCCAAAGGCTATATTTGCCTATTTGTATGCATGGTAACGCGCGCCATACATTTAGAGGTAGTATCTGACCTTACCACGGAGGCTTTCCTCCAGGCATTTAAACGATTTGTGGCAAGGAGAGGTTACTGCTCTGATGTTTGGAGTGATAATGCTACGAATTTTGTTGGCGCGGCTGCTGAATTAAAAAGGTTATTCACCGAGGAAAAGAACTCCATGATAAGTGAAGCAGCCGAGGCTTTGGCAACTAACGGTTGTACCTGGCATTTCATACCCTCACGCTCTCCCAACTTTGGTGGTCTATGGGAAGCGGGAGTAAAGTCCGTCAAGTTCCACTTGAAACGGGTTATTGGCCAATCAACGTTGACGTTCGAGGAGATGACGGCAGTATTGGCACAGATAGAAGCCTGCTTAAATTCTAGACCTCTATCCACACTTTCCTGTAACGAAAGCGATGATGTGAGAATTTTGACACCTGGACATTTTCTTGTTGGAGAAGCACTGGTCACACCACCTGACAGGAATTACGAATCTGACAACATCAGTTCTTTACGTAGATGGCAATATACTCAGAAAATGTTGCAGGTTTTTTGGCATCAATGGTCACGTCAATATTTGACAAGGTTTTACCAAAGACACAGATGGTCGTTTCAGAAACCTCAACTAAAGATTGACGATGTAGTTGTAGTTAAAGAGGATAACTTACCAGCTGGGCGTTGGCTTTATGGTAGAGTGATTGCAACTCATCCCGGAAATGATGATATAGTTAGGGTTGTCACATTAAAGGTGGCACTCTAAAACGTCCTGTATCTAAAATTTGTCTTCTTCCCAAAACTAGTTAATTTATATAGATATTTGTTGCTTTATACAAAAAGCACAATACCGATTTATATAAAAAAAAATGTTCTGTTCAAATAAAAATTTGTTAGTTTAAGTTATTGTAATTTTAAGTGTTTTGTTACCTTAAGCACGGTAATAATATCATACAGTATTCTCTCTCTCTATCTTCATACAAACGGTCGGAGAGCGAGTCATACCTACGCCACTCGAGTTCGATGTACTCTCGGCGGGCACCCAGTCGCGAATGCGCCGCCGCGCCGCAACGACGACCGAACGGTCTGAATTTTTTTTATGCTGTTAGCCGTGCTTAAACGTGCGTTTTGTATTGTAAATATTTGATTTAATTAAGTAGATACCTACATAATTTAGTATGGGAAAGAACAAATGACGATCAATATCGAACAACAGCAAAATTGCTGTTTTTGGTTGCTTGGACTCTTCAATAACACACCCAGAGATATCATTTTTTAAATTACCTGAAATATTGGAAAGGTGTCTTACCTTTATAGAATATTTTTTTATATACCTATCTACTAGTACGTAATTTGTTTCTAATATTTAGGTATTTCGGTTTTTCCATCGGGCAAAATATCTGGAATAATATATAAATAAGTGGTTAGGATGAAAAAAGAGACAAACGAGTAATCACTCGCGTTAAAAACAAAACTACATAAAATACTGTAGGCGGGCGGCCCTACCGCGTGCTAACGCAGCGCTCGGCCGTAGGCATTTATTTTCAAGGACAGGGCGGAGTCACAATACTGTATAGATAATATTACCGTGCCTTAAGTCATGGAGGGCGATAACAGAGTCATGTTGTTTAGTTAAATATTTGTAAGGACAAATCTCAGTTTGTCCTTGGTGGGCGATTATGTATACGCCATTAGTGCATGTAAAAATTGTAGTTCATATTGTAAAAATAGATGGCGCTGTAGTTCTTTGCATCACGCTTGCAAATATGTTTGGAGCTACATATAGGCAAAATGTCACCTAACTAATAAAGAAATCTATGGTCAAACAAATTCCACCTTAGTTTCATTTAATTCTTTTGCACCTAAGCTCTCGGATTTAAGAGTCATTTTGGCTCGAACAGCTAGCATGTTTATATCAATATAATTACTCTCATCTATTCACAAACTCTTCTAACAGCTTGCATGGCTTAATAGCGGATGGCTTTATTTCTATTTTTATACACACACAATGTTTGGAAATTTTAGACACTATATTAATGATTTCTAGGAATTTCGAAGTTGGTGTTTTTAATGCTGGCTCCCTTGGCACAAAACATGAGGAGTTTATTGTGGCTATGGAGGAATTAGATCCAGACATTATGGCAATTAATGAAACTTGGCTGAGAGCGGACCAGAGTGGCAGAGCTCCCAGTTTGCCCGGTTATACATTTTGCCACAACCCAAGACCTAACAGTGTTCGTGGTGGCCGTGGTGGTGGTGTGGGGGTTTCCATCCGCAAAGGAGTTAATGCTGTAATCCTACAGTCACCACAGTTGAGCAAATGTGGATAAAGGTGCGCATCAACGGTACGGATATAATTGTAGGAACTGCCTATAGACCGCCCTGGCAAGACATGAATGTCTTCTTTGACGCCATCACTGCCTCTATATCCTCATTCCCAAAGCACCATGCTTTGGTTCTAATGGGGGACTTCAGCATTGATCTGCTGAGCAGAAGTGGCAAGGCAAGTCTACTCAATCAGATCCTTTTTAGTTTAAACTTGGATCAAGTAATATCAAAGCCAACCCACTTTACGGATCATAGCCAGAGCCTCATCGATGTAATCTGTACTGACGTGAAGGTTTGCAACACAACGGTCGCCCACATTCCTGAGCTGGATGGTCATGCAATGGTGGCAACTGATTTGAATATAAAAAAAGCAAAACCAGTACCACATTGGGTGACATACAGGCCTATCAAAAGCATTCAGCATGATGACCTAAACTAGGATCTAAACTCGTTCAATTGGGAATATTTCGAAAAAACCGACGGACGATGTCAGTACTGTAGTTGAAAATTTCACAACTGCAGTCACATCTTTATTTGACCTACTACATGCTCCTTTAAGAACAAAGAGGTTTAGGGCCCTTCCACACCCGTGGTTTACAGATACAATAAAGTCCATGATGCAAGTGAGAAATAGATACCATTGGAAATATAAGGAGACCCGTACACAAGCCTTAAGGATTCCTATTTATCTATGAAACATCTCGTCATAGAGGCCATCGAAAATGAAAAGAAAGCATATTTCACTACCAGCATCAATAACAGCATGGGCGATCCTAAACATTTATGGCAAAATTTGTAATCTTCTGTCTTGCCAGATAATAAGACCCAGTTAGATCTTCCAACCTTATAAATGTAACGTCTGTGATAAAAGATTTACTATAAGTTTTAATTTATCCAGACATAAAAGAATTCACACGGGAGAGAAACCTTATAAATGTAACGTTTGCGATAAAAGATTTACTGTAAATAGTAATTTAGCCACACATCAAAGAACTCACACGGGAGATAAACCTTATAAATGTAACGTCTGTGATAAAAGATTTACTCAAAATAATAATTTAGCCACACATCAAAGAATTCACATGGAAGAGAAACCTTATAAATGTAACGTCTGCGATAAAAGATTTACTCGAACTAGTAATTTAGCCACACATCAAAGAACTCACACGGGAGAGAAACTTTATAATTGTAAAGTCTGCGATAAAAGATTTACTGCAAGTTGTAAATTATCCACACATCAAAGAGTTCATACGGGAGAGAAACCTTATAAATGTAACGTCTGCGATAAAAGATTTACTGAAAGTAGTACTTTATCCATACATCAAAGAATTCACACGGGAGAGAAACCTTATAAATGTAATGTCTGTGATAAAAGACTTACTAAAAGAGGTGATTTAGCCAGACATAAAATAATTCACACGGGCGAGAAACCTTATAAATGTAACGTCTGCAATAAAAGATTTACTCAAAATAGTAATTTAGCCACACATCAAAGAATTTACACAGGAGAGAAACCTTATAAATGCAACGTCTGCAATAAAAGATTTACTACAAGATTGTGTTTTACACAGGCACCAAGAAATTCACGAAGCAGAGAAACCTTATGAATGTAACATCGATAATCAATCAATCGTATGATTACTGTCGCGGCGTCCGGCCTCCTTGGACTGACTGACTAGTCTACATATGACAGACGGACATCATGACAGTATTGACAGGAAAAAAGATGACAATGGACTACGAGACAGGACGGCGGTGACTGCCAAGTTTCGTGACACCGACTTCCACGACTATATAAAGACGACGACTCCAACGACCAGACAATTACAAATTACCAAACGAATGTTCTTCAATCTCGTGGTGTAATATTTCAAAGGTTCCAGTCTGAAACGCGTTCTAAGCGGCAGAGGCAGCCTTAGGGGGTCCCGCGGTCTCGCTTAACAACCAAAATCCAGTCCAATCCGAGGTAGGGATATTCGATATACATCGATGCATCGAAAACATCGATGTTTGCAATGAAAACCATCGAATCGATCCGATGTTTTGAAAAGCTTTCAATATACTCGATGCATCGATGTTTTAAAGAAACATCGAATTGGTAATAGAGTTTGACCACGTAGTGATAATATCCTCTTTGATTTGATCTCAGTAAAAAAACTTAAGTTTGACCACTATTATTTTACTTATTACTATTATGAAAGCATCATTATTCCGGATTCTCTGATATGGACCCGATGTTGGCAGCAATGCGCAAGAGTCAGTGCAGTGACAATAAAAAATAACTACGAGTTTCTATGTTTATGAACATTTAATAATCTTTAGATTTTAAATACTTTTTCTTTCTTTCTTTCTTTCTTTAGTTTTGTGAACGAAACTAAGATTGAAGTATATTTCTAATATTCTTTTGACAGACTTAGCAAAAATTTTGCGGGTTATTTAGTGTTTTTTTAATTTGATCTTTTGTAAAAAAATATAATACAGATTTTTCTGACACATGGCTTTTACTTGTATTTACTTTTACCTACTCATTATGAAAGGAGTTAATTATTTTATTTTATGAAAGATTAATATATAAACTATAATAAAATTATGGATTAAGGTCTTTTCATAAACTTCAATAGTATTTTTTTTTTACTATGAAAAGATGTCCTCTTTTGTGATGGGTCACTTTACACATAAGTTGAGTTTTGTAATAAAATTTCAGTAAAAGTACTCGATGTTTAAAATACATCGATGTTTTCATCCGATACATCGAATGACATCGATGTATAGTTGCGATGTATCGAATCAAAAAATACATCGATGTTTTTTCAGAGTGGACACCCCTAATCCGAGGTAGGCAAAAACTGAATGAAGTTGGAATGACTACATAAATATGATTACACTAGATAAACGTGATTTTAATAAAAAAAATGCAAGGAGACAGTCGTAACTCAGCATAGATCCTGTTGCGTAGACACTTAATACACAAAACTGCACCAATTTTGATGACATTATTTATAGCATTTATTCACTCCTTGTAACGATACACTACCCAAACCCCCATATTAATAAACGCCGAATAAGCATTGACTAGTAACGCCGTGTTTTGTTTGTTCACATCACTCAAATGCCATTTATAATAATAATAATAATGAATTTTATTTTCTCATCACAAAAGGTTTTACACACGTTCCAATGTAATCATAACAGTGAAGGCACAAATGATAGGTTTGTGTGAGACTGATGCCTGAGATAGGTTTGGTAACATACCTGTTTTACAGGTCATCAGGCTCCCACCACCTTGGTTTATAAGAACAATTATTATGATTTACAAAAATATCTAGTTACTATCTATTATTATTTACCATCTGTCTATAGTGTTTATGACAAAACTCAGTTACGACGAGTGTATGAATTAAGAGAAAAAGAGTGTAATGTGTTATAAAGTGGTGTCGCTGTGTGGTGTTGAAACATACAATAATGTTTTCATGTGGTAATGTCCCTAAGACTTATGTTGTTTGTGGTAGTTAGAATTTTGGAGTAAATGTGGGTATTTTATGAACTTATGTGAGAGTGACCAAATAATCCTCTGTCTGGACATACGTTTTATTTAAAAGTAAACAGCGGACTCTGGCTTTAACTTTACAACGTACATAATCCGCGAATTCATATTCATCGATTTTCCCATGGGAATAAGATATTTTCCCGCAGTAAAACGTAGCCTATGTGTTAATCCAGGGTGTCAGCTTACTCCATACGAAATTTTATTATAATCGCTCCAGCCGTTTAGACGCGAAGAAGTAACAAACATACACACTGACAAATTTTCGCTTTGATAATATTAGTGTCATAATGTTCCAAAAATTGCTAAAAGCGCTAGCGAAAAACATCAACCGAGCTCGGCATCGAATTACCGATCTTTTGGTATCAACCCTAAGACCGACTTCGTTCAGCTATCCGTCTATTGCGTGCGACGTGCTACAAAGTTACACCTACCTACCTATCTCGTGTCAAATACTCTACTTCCATATACTCTACTTCCGTTTCATCGAATCTCAAGTCGCAACGATACTAAAGAAGTATTTACTTCAAAATATTCATAGGTTACAAACCTTTTTGTTAGCTAAATCTTCGCGTCCTGTAACAATGATGACGTGTGTGATTCTTTTATAATGACTTTGATGGTATTAGTGATAATTATAGGCGTAGGTACATAAATAAATATTTAGATTTTTTTTTTCTTAATTTTGTAATTAAAAAATAAATTATAAGTTGGCAGTTACCACATCGAATTCACAAAACAACGATGGTGATCACTTACCATCAGTAGTTCAGTACCCTTATCATGAACCATTATCGAATTCGAATAGCTTGCGAGTCCGTAATGTCATTGTCATATTTTGCAAACGGACGTAACGAGAACTAAAAATCGTTACACATTTTACAATGACATTTCGCACTCGCAAACGATATTGGTTCGTGCTAAGGGTACAGATGCGCCGTCTGCTCCTTTGCCCCCTATTTACTAATATATATAAAAACAGTGGTTTCGATTCCGGCATGATTATCTAAACTCAAAACTAAATTTAAGATCAGTCTCCTTTTCATTTTGTACGGACTATGACAAGGAGACACTGGTGTCGATTCTGACATCATTCTCTAAATTTAAAACTAAATTTAACATCAGTCTCTCGTTTTCATTTTGTATAGAGAATGACAAGGATACACTGTTGTCAAATTTAAGTTTAGATTTAGAGAATCGACACTAGTGTTGTCAAATTTAAGTTTAGATTAAGAGAATCATGCCAGAATCGATACCACTATCAACATTGTCATAATAGGTTAAGTACTTGATCTAATACTCTTATATATTTTTGTTATTTTTTCTTCTGCAACATAGATAATCAGCCCCTGGACCATATCTTTTTCTTTTGCGGTTCATTTCAAGTACAGAGAAATATGCTGTTTCAAGACCTTCGAAGTACTTTTGGCGAAGAAACCATCCCGCGCGACTTGAGAAAACTTTTACAAAGACACCTACATTCCTTTGTACAAATTTGTAAAAGCTACAATCAAGACACTTTAAGAAAGAAAAGTTAACAGACAGGGCTCTATGGACTCAGAATCCGTTGCCCGTCCCAACAGGGACAAATTGACAAAAAAAAAGGGTTGTTTGGCGCGATTTCATCGAGTGCACTTGGCGTCTTATTTTAATTATTCTTATATTCGTTCATAGTGGATATTGTGAAATAAAAATGGTGTGGTTTTGTGTAACAACCGTCTGCGTAACTGAAGAATTAGTGGAATCGTTAAAATATACGCTATTCCGGTCAAGTGGACGTGAGAATTTTATTGTAGTGTTGACTACCTCACAGAAGCTTATCGAAAAAGCCAACTCGATACATTTCGTGCCAAACACTCCAAGAAACATTAGAATGCGTCACACTGACATTCTAATGTAAAAACAAAAAGAAGATTAATTTTATTAGACATGTGCGTTTTTGGTTTTGAACGCAAACGGATATTTATCGGATTTCAGATTTCAAAATCGATTTTAAAATCCGTTTTTAGATATCCGATTTCAGATGTGCCGAACTTAGCCAATTCACTAGTTTGTGTTATGATTTGGTTTTATTAGCTAACGACAATCACAAACAATTAATTGTAGGAAGCAAGAATACTCGTAGATTTTCGCTTAGGACTAGCAGAAAAGTTATGTTTACGGTTAAGAGTAAAACTTTTGCGGCGCAGTTAAAAATCGACTTATATACAATGATTTCTTTTTACATATTTTTTTAGTATTTTTTTTTTGTTTTTCTGTTTGTTTTTATTATTTTTCAAACCATTTACAAAATCAAACCTAATTACTTCAGGTTAGCGTCCAAAAATGTAAGTTGCTCGACTTTTGATGTTTTTAGACGACATATCTTTTCAGTGATAAATAATCCCGCCTAAGAGAAGAGCAATAGATTTCCGTAAACAGCAAATCGAAATCGGACTTCCGAGCACGAAATCTGACTTCCGAAAACGAAAGCACGAATTTCGAATCCGATTTACATTTGGATACTTGTGGTATTAGATCGCTAGGTTTCGGATCGCTATCGTTTTGGTTCGGTTAGATTTCTGAAATCGGATTTTCTTTTTGAGAAATCGTTCGGTATCGATTTGTGTTTGAAATCGGATTTTGGATTCGTTTTGATATATCGGACGCATGCCTAAATTTTATTAAAGACCAGGCTGTATGGGCATTGTTTCCTTTGCCTTCCCTATAACGGGAGAACTTCAACAAAAAAAAAAAAAAGAAGAAGAAGATCCCTGTTTTATCCCGGCTGTTGACTGAAAATATACAAATATGTCTCGTTTACAAGCATGCAGAGTATGCCTGGCACATCATAGACGTATGTTTTCAATATTGAATGGGCCACTTCAAGAGTTTTATGAAAATATCACTGAAATTCCGGTAAGATCTCTCATCCTTAATTGCCACAGTATTGGTCTCAATAATTCGTTTATTTAATTATTCATTGCGGCTCTTTTAAATTCGAAATTCGTTCCTTAATTGAAAGAAATAGTTATTGCTCTTCATTGTCATCAGAGAAGTGCATTTAGTCATAAAATTTAACGATTCAGCAGCACTAAACTAGGGTGTGCAATATTTTTTTTAAAAACTGTAATTTGTAAATTATATACATATTATGTTAAAATTTTACAAAACTATATTATTTTATGTCTAACTATGGATATACTGTACTTCCAGGGCCCAAAAGTAAAAACTTCAGTTTTGTTGGTTGTAATTTCGCATTTTTGTTGGTAAAAAGGTTTCTGTTAACCTCATTATTAAAAAAAATGTCACACTTATGCACTGGTAGTTTTTTAGAAAATAATATTGAAAATTTTTACTTTTCTTATCAAGTGGTGATACTTCACACTAGTTTAGGTTAGGTTAGTGTTGTGACCATAACGCGCGAGCCGAGCGAGCAAAGCGAGCGTGCCGCGGTAGCGGCCGGCGAAGCGCCAGAAAATAAAAACTGTTAAAAAGAACTTTTCTACAAAAAAAAACAAGTATCACCTTTTGGGCCCTGGAAGTACAGTTTAACTAACTATACCTGTAAAGCTCTGAAAGGTAAATTTGCTCTTTGTCATTAAAGAGCTTGGGTGTTCAGATGCAGGCAGATGTTGAATTTTCATTATTTAAGAATCAATTATCATTATAAAGACACTAAATGGGCGTTCAAAAGCAATTTCTAATTGCTATAAATTGTTGTATGTGATTTTAGCTTGTAGTGGGTGACTTATGGCCGACATGCATATGCTACATTTGCTACCATATGATGAGAAAATTTAAAAAGTTTATAGACAAGTCACTAAAGGCAAATGATCTCCTGTTGCAACTCATCAGTTCCGAGTCTGAGGTAAGAACTTGTTACAAACATACAAACATTTCATTACAAACATTCAGTCTAAAGTTAAACCTGAACTAAATGTGATGCTATCACTTTTTTTTGCTGTAACTTTGTCTGCGTTTGGAATAAATGTAATTTTTTGAGAAATACTTATTTCATAATGGTTCATTGCTTCCACTTTTTTTTGTGTTTTCAAATATTGTTTGGTACTCCTAAATAAAAAAAGCTGAGAATACAATAACACAGCTTTTTACAGATTTGTACAAAACATGGAATAAAGGGGGCGTCCATAAATTACGTGAGGTGTTTTTTTTGAATTTTCTGTCCCTCCCTGCCCCCCTGGTGAGATGTCGTGAGATTTTTTTCAACCCCCTCCCCCATCCCCCAATCTCACGTGAGATTTTTCAAAATGTGGGTTTCTTACTTAAACGGGTTGGATTGTTATTGTTAAAAGAAAAAAAAATCCTTCGTGCTTTTATTTACGACTAGTTAAGACTAGTAATCAATATTGCTGAGAGTTATTTCTTTCGAACGAAATAGTGAATGATCTTAATCGTACTACGATTACGCTTAAGATTAAATTTTAAGCATGTACAATCTGGATTAAATGGACCAAAATAGTATATTTTTTTTGTTTCAATCAGACAAAAAATTGCGTGATATTTGACTCGACCCCCCCTCTCTCCAACGTAAGATTAGATGAGATTTGACTCGACCCCCTCCCCCCCTTAAACATCTCACGTAATTTATGGATGTCCCCAAAGTAATACTGGTCTGAGGGACCACGATGACTTATAACAGTATAATTTTTCTATGTGTGCGGGTTGTGATGTCGCAAGCGCATACCTGACCTAGGCATCACATAGTGTCAAACTTGTGCTTGACGAATAATAAATTGCACATGTTTGCTCGTAGGTAAGTCAAAATATTTAGCTGTGACCACACATTAGAGGGTTAAAAACCTAATGCTTTCTATGTCGTATAGTGAGACAGAAAACGGTAGCCCTCATTAGCCTAGCCCCAAAGTAAGCACTGTAGGCTTGTGTTATGGGACACTTAGGGTAGCGGCTAGAATAAATATACTGTTATATATACATATTAGTATAGTTTATTGGTCCATGCTATTATGTTAGGTCTAAAGATCTTCCAACAAGTGATGGTAGCTCGGGGGCCGCAGCCCAACTGTTTCATTTTTTTGAGTGTGTCTGCTGTTGGTCGCAGATGACCGTTACAGCGTCACCGGGCTTGGGGACGGCGAGATCTTAAGGGAACTTCAATCCGAGAATTAACGAGTGCCTCTAGAGGTATTCTAGGCCGATCGCATCTCCCCACGGTGGGGAGAACCCAAGGTGTCGGCTCAACTAGAGGGCGTCTCTGAGACTCGGCTCAACTCGGCATTAGCTCTAGTTAGCTGTTGTCGTGGGGGGCGGGGAAAAACGTCCAGGTACGTTCCTGTACCAGGTATAGCGTGTCGTGTGTAGACCCGGTCTTCGCATTCATATCCTACGGGTGCGGTTTTTGCCTAGTGCTAAACTAGTGTGCAAGTTTGCTAGCTGTGTAGTGTTGGTGTTTGTGGCTCATCTGGGAGGAGTCGGAAGTGGAATACTTTGACTACTAAGGGGTTCGGATGATGCGCGGCATTATCGAAGTAACGTCTCAAGGCGTCCTTCATATACTTCGCGATGGAGTCTTACTTGAGATGGCGATGCAAATCGAGCGCATGTACCACGGGCAACCCGTGGCACCGTGACGGTGGTACGTGGGCGAAGCAAACACTCGCGTAGGTCACGATAGGATAGGATGCAATTTATGTAAATTATGCCTAATAATGCTCAAGTTATGCCTAAGTGACATTTCACTACGCTTCCCTATGAGGTGGAATCGCCTGCCGCGAATGAATGCTGCGCGGTCGCGACCTATCTTGATATGAGGTGCAAACGTTAATTGGTTATCTAATGTACCTCCCAAGTACTTGACTCGGTCCCGCCAGGGGATGACCCGCTCAAATAATTGGGTGCTCGGAAGAGAACGCGTGGGAGGCGACGCTTTTTTCCGGATTAACCTCGATCTACGAAACCAGGTATAGAGGGCGGTGTTGTCGGTGAAAAGCGCGAGATCGACTTTAGGAGTCTTGGGCATGTCGTTCGTGAAGACCGAGTAGAGGAAGGGCGAGAGTGGCGAGCCCTGAGGGACGCCGGCGCGGATAGGGCGGGGCGAGGAGAGCGTTCCTTCGACGCGATAGCGAAACGAGCGATTCGACAAAAAGTCCTATATGATGAGCTCCAGTCTGTCCGGCACCCCGAGTTTCTTTAGCTTATAAATTAAGCCATTAAGACAGACTTTATCGAATGCTTTTAAAGTGACAGTATCATTTTTAGACTAACTGGGGTTAAAGTTTAGTCACTATTTTGTAATAAGGCTAAGTCTAATTAATTATGGCAAAATTATTTTACATGGGATTTTTTTTAGATCAACACAGACACACTAAATATGATTGTGAAGCGACAACCTGATATCGCCTGGAACTATAGTGTGTCACCGATGGAGAGTATTATGCTTGTAGACCCAGAAGAGGTTAATCTGGAGGCTACTTTAAAGGTTGAGAAAGTGAAGTCTGAATTTAACTTAGAGGAGATGCAGGATCAAAGTGAACCAGGTATTTGTTATTAGTATATATGCCAAGCTACACCGGTTTTCGAGGTGTCACCTACTCAGAGGTCCTGGGTTCGAATCCTGGTGGGGCAAATGTTTGTGTGATGAATAGGTACGAACTTTTTGTTCCCAAGTCATGGCTGTTTATATTTGTTTCTAGAAAACTATACTTCACTTCATTATATTATGTAAATTAGTTATATTCGTTATATGTAGGGTGTCCAGTGGTCCACATACTAGAAAGTCAGGGAAAACAAGGGAAGCTCAAGTCTTTGATTATATACCCCTCGGTACCACATTAGCAGCACGGAAGCAGCACAAAAATATCTACTACATATTAGTACAGTCAATCTGTAGGTTGAGTGGTGAAAAAAAAACCTAAAGGGTAAGTCTTGTTTTTTCTGTTGCCAAATGACGTCAGTAAGCCACCTTGGCGATGGGCATGTTCAACTCGTAGGCGTTTTTTGAAAAACTCAAAAAAACCGTCAAAAATTTTTTGAAACGCATTTTTCTTGTTTTGTATGCATTTTAGAAACTTTTTTTTCGACCATAATTGTAGAGGGCGTTGAGTGCTACAATTTATGTCATTGTTGCAATCTCGTTCAACAAAAAATGCTCATTGTAGGTGGCGCTAAAGTCTAAAAAAAGTGTTTTTTCACTTTTTCACCCTGAAAATATCATTTTAATGGAAAACTTTAAATGGCAAAGTTGTTTCGTACATAATTACCAACAACTTTTGTATAAACAATTTTTTGTATTACTTACCGTTTTCAAGTTATAAATTGCGCAGGTATGAAAAGTCCAATAGAGCGGTTTTGGGCAGTTCAAGTACACATTTGCAGTGCACATTTCAATGTACGTTTTTACCTTTTTTTTTTAAATCATGAAAAAAAATAAAAATAAAACTATTTTTTTTTTCATTTTTTTTTGTTTTTCAATCATGAAAAGAAATAAAAAATAGTAAAACGTACATTAAAATGTGCACTGCAAATGTGTACGTGAACTGCCCAAAACCGCTCTATTGGATTTTTCATACCTACGCAATTTATAACTTGAAAACAGTAAGTAATACAAAAAAATTGTTTATACAAAAGTTGTTGGTAATTATGTACGAAACAACTTTGCCATTTAAAGTTTTCCATTAAAATGATATTTTCAGGGTGAAAAAGTGAAAAAACACTTTTTTTTAGACTTTAGCGCCACCTACAATGAGCATTTTTTGTTGTACGAGATTGCAACAATGACATAAATTGTAGCACTCAACGCCCTCTACAATTATGGTCGAAAAAAAAGTTTCTAAAATGCATACAAAACAAGAAAAATGCGTTTCAAAAAAATTTTGACGGTTTTTTTGAGTTTTTCAAAAAACGCCTACGAGTTGAACATGCCCATCGCCAAGGTGGCTTACTGACGTCATTTGGCAACAGAAAAAACAAGACTTACCCTTTAGGTTTTTTTTTCACTCAAACGATATTTTTTTCGACAGATTGACTGTACTATATGGTAGATATGCTCGTGCTTACAATCTTAGTACAATCTGACATTAGAGTCACGCACACATTGAGCGAAACATGAGCCGTTTTCTTAGCGTGATTTATTTGAATTGCTCACACACACTGACATAACAAATGATTTGACAAATCAAATATCTGCAAATGAATTTGGCTGTTCATTCACTGGGTGAGATCATGTCATAAAGAAGGGTCATGTATACCAATCTGCAATGACTACTGGTGGCCAACAGAAACATAAATCTATCACAAACTGTTATTCAGGAAAGCTTTGATCAGTTATGTAAGTGGGAACATGATGTAGGATTGTTGATAAATGGGCAAGAAACTAAAATAATTGACATACACTCATCACATAACAGGACACCTGACACAACGACCATCCTGGCTCACAGTCATCACTGCCTGAATAGTGATAGGAATGTTTGCTCGGGTCCAACTTCAGAGGTTATTATACATAGATATATTAAAGTTACATGTAGATTGGTGCTATTAATATAATATCTATTATTAATAATTATTTATGCAGCCACAATTGTGGAAACAATCAAATTAGATAATTAACAGCAATGGAAGTGTGTCACTGTATAAGCGTTACATCACAGTTACTTGAATATGTTGAAAGAAATTTTGCAAGTCTCTGAACTTTAAATAATTTCGTGTTCACTGCTTTTATAATCAAGTACTTGAGGCGGGTTTTATTTATTAGCACTCATAATTCACTTCACTACACTCAAATACAAACTTTTACTATTTTATTTAGTAATGGGAGCTGCTTGCAAATACAGGTTACTAAGAACGGCGCCATCTAGCGTCACTATTAAACTTTTGATAAGTTCAGAAGGTTTGAATTATTTCTATATTGAATGGCAAGTAGGCATTCCTGTTACCGTTAGGTATGTAACTTCCTTGGACTCAGACGAATACAACGTCATCTGTAATGCGATTTGCGTTTTATTCCTCATTATACAAAAAGGAGTGTAATGTTATCAGAATTCATTTAAAATAATTTTATTATTTGTTGTTAGTCCCAACAGAAATTGTTAAAATAATATATTCTTTTAATATTACCATTACAAATATAAGCTAGATGATAGTCATTAAAAATATAAAGTAATATTTACAGAAGCAAAACTGGCCAAGAAACGTAAGCTGACCAGTGAAATTAACAAGGAAAACCAATTCAAGCCTCCAACAGCATCGAGAGCAACCGAAGGAACCACGGAAAAAGAAGCTCAAATTGGTGATCCAAACAGAACTACAGAATTAAAAAATAAGGACAGTTTCTTTAAACCAAATATTTTCACAAAATATAGTTACGAAAACAAAAATATGGTGAAGAACAAACGCGATAAAGTAAGAAATCATAGAGACACTTTTATATGTGATATCTGTAAAAATATTTTTATTTGTAAAAACAAATTATTAAGTCATATTAGTAAATCACATATTGAACTTACGGCCATAACTAACCAAAGTTATACTATGACTAATGAAATAAACTTAATTAATAAAAACAACTTAGAGAACAATATTGGTTCTGCTATGACAAGCAACCGTGGACATTCGATAAATAAACGCCATATGAAGACTGACCAGAAAGAAATACGGTATAATTGTAGTATCTGCGATAAAAGATTTACTACAAATAATAGTTTATCCTTACATAAAAAAATTCACACAGGTGAGAAACCGTATAAATGTAATATCTGTGATAAAAAATTTAATTGTAATAGTAGTTTATCCTTACATGCAAAAATTCACACAGGGGAGAAACCTTATAAATGTAACATCTGTGATAAAAGATTTACTCAAAATTGTACTTTAGCCACACATCAAAGAACTCACACAGGAGAGAAACCTTATAAATGTAACGTCTGCGATAAAAGATTTACTCTAAATTGTACTTTAGCCACACATCAAAGAACTCACACAGGAGAGAAACCTTATAAATGTAACGTCTGCGATAAAAGATTTACTCTAAACAGTAATTTAGCTACTCATCAAAGAACTCACACAGGAGAGAAACCTTTTAAATGTAACATCTGTGATAAAAGATTTACTGCAAGTGGCGATTTGTCCAAACATCAAAGAATACACACAGGAGAGAAACCTTATAAATGTAACATCTGTGATAAAAGATTTACTCTAAATTGTACTTTAGCCACACATCAAAGAACTCACACAGGAGAGAAACCTTATAAATGTAACGTCTGCGATAAAAGATTTACTCTAAACCATAATTTAGCCACACATCAAAGAACTCACACAGGAGAGAAACCTTATAAATGTAGCGTCTGCAATAAAAGATTTACTCAAAATAGTAATTTAGCCACACATCAAAGCACTCACACAGGAGAGAAACCTTATAAATGTAACGTCTGCGATAAAAGATTTACTGCAAGTGGCGATTTGTCCAAACATCAAAGAATACACACAGGAGAGAAACCTTATAAATGTAACGTCTGCGATAAAAGATTTACTGAAAGTGGTAATTTATCCAAACATAAAAGAAATCACACGGGAGAGAAACCTTATAAATGTACCTAGATAATATGTGATAAAAAATTTACTAAAAGTAGCCGTTTCTACAAACATCGGAGAAATCACACGGGAAAGAAAGTGAGCCAACGAGCACTTGTGATATGTAATCGACCAAATAGTTTAGTCGTTATCGTACGATAACCAATTACCGAAGTATTGTTCAATACTTCAATCAAATGGGTGTATGATTTCAGAGGGACCAAACAAAACAGCCACCTATACCAGCAACTAAAAGATAATACAAGCAGAAATTTTAGAAATTTGAACAAACTTGTATTGAGTAACAATCCCAAAACTTCGCGTTTCAATAAAAATGGTTATGCAATGGCTATAAAAATATATAATAAAGTACCTGACAATATTAAGCAACTACCTTACAACAGGTTCAGAATAGTATTAAAAAAATGGGTGCGTGTACTTATGTAGGCGCGTGAGAAGTTATCCTTCTTTGGCATCGTTTAAAATTAGTTTTTAATTGCATGCAAATAATTAATTACAATAAATTAATAAAAAGTCTGGAAAAGGACACAGTCAATAAAGTTCAGTTTTAATTTGAAAAAATAAATAAATAATCAAAATATTCAATTAAAATCGCTACTGAATATAATTTAGTAAAACATATGTGATTTGCACTTGTATGAAACTCAAACACGTATTCCGAATATACAAACTAGAAACATGTGGATAAATATTATAAATATGAATACCTAATAACTTACTTTATTACAAAAAATAAAGATGTGGTTTTTGGTTCTACTACACCAATGGTCAAGAGATGGCTCCTGAATCGCGCTTTGGTTCCGTTGTTCCAGATTAATAAATACTTTTGATATTATAAATATGAATATCTATAACTGTTACTTTATTACAAAAAATAAAGATGTGCATTTTGGTTCTACTACACCAATGGTCAAGAGATGGCGCTGTAGTCTCCTGAATCACGCTTTGGTTCCGTTGTTCCAGATTAATAAATACTTTTGAAAGGCCTTCACAATGCAGTCGTTAGCAAAAGTAACGCATGAAGTTGGTCGCTTTCATGCTGTTAAAATTTTGTGTTACAGTGATGCGCGCGCATCTTAAAATTTCACTTTCATCATTTTTTCATAACGCGCCTAAAGAAGTATAACTTCAAAAATTGGCTATTGGATAAAAGCTTTTATTCTGTAGAGGAATTTAAAAAAAATAAAATAAGAAACGTATCTTAAGCGCAAAGGCGGCCTCAGGGGGCCCCGCGGCCTCGCTTATTGTAGGACTGCATTTATCGGTCGTGTTGTGCTGTGACTCATCAGAGAGCTATCTGTTTCATACATTTACAACAGTAACAACACAAGTAAAGTTCTACTGAATGTATGAAACCGGTCGCGTTACAACACAACACGACAGATAAGTATATTTCTGCTTCAACCCAAGTCCCGTACAATCCGATAGACAAAAACTAAATGGAGACGTAGATATGATTATGTATTGTTACGTGTCTTTGCGTTTGTGACAATATACTAGACGCACAAACTAGCGGCGAATTTAATAATAAAAAAAAATCAAGGAGACGATTCTGGCGTGATTCTCTAAACTTAAAACTAAATTAATAATCTTTCTGTCCTTTTAATTCTGTATAGAGAATGCAAAGATATACTGTTGTCAAAGGACAATGGGCAAAACACACCCAGCTTCGCCAACAATGTCATTAGTATGAATTGATAGATCTATGAAAAACTAGCCTTTTTTACTATGACACGGTAAAAAAATATCCCGGTAGTCGAAAGATATGACACATGGGCATTTTAAGCAACTAAAAAAAATAATATTATAGTACCTTCATTTTATATTATTAGTAACCATAATAATATGCCATATCGTACTATACAACCATATATACGACAAAGCCTGCCGACCATCCTGCGCTTGCACTTACTGAGACACCTCAAAACGGTTTACGGGGGTTGAAGGACTTGCAGTTGCAAATAGTCGACTCGTCTTACTTCATTATGATTGTGCGCTTTTTGTTACTCGATTGATTTTTATCTAACACACTTTGGACATTGAAACACGATTATCGGTTTTGTCAAATAGTATGGATGAACTAGAATCATGTTTTCTCCGGAGCGTGCACAAGTTTGGGTGATTTGCGTCGCTCCGTTTTACAAAGAAGACAATTTACTGTAACGAACAGAATGTTTGAAAACCCCCAACCCATGCGGGGATTTATGGATTTACTCTAGCGCGGCAGAATAACATAAGGGGCACCCTTGAACCTTGTGAAGTACTCCCATAATACCTGAGCCCCCTATGTAGTGTCGAACTAACTAACTAAATTAATTCCCTTGTTTCATTAATGCTCGTTTGTTATAGTACTTCTGCCCATTTTTAACTTAAAATAACAAAAGACTCCCGGGGGTGAAATTTGATGCGCTTTGGCACAAATGATTATGACTATAATACCTTTCAAACTAGTGTAGTTTATGCCGTGGCGGACGCGTCCATACATTTTTGCCCAATGCCCTTTTACAGTTAGATAAATCCTTTAAAACAGGCAACAAATTATATTTATACAACTATACAATGATATTTTCGTGTGCAGCGGCGATACGAACGGGCGAAAACTCAGCGTAACATTTACTCAGAGAGTAAATCGATGATTTTCATTTGTGACCCATAAAGATGTCTCGAATTTATATGTCAGATAAAAATTCACAATTACATTGAACGAAATTAAATACGATAATTAATTACACATTCATTGATATATTATAATTATGGTACATTTAAATATATAATTATAGTAAATATTGATAAATTAATGAGAGAGAAAATAGTTTCGGTGAAAATAAAATAAAAGCACACAACACCAACACCGACACCTCTTCACCCAAGCAACTAATTTCTGGATATTCCAATTTCCTGAAGTTCTAATAAGGATGATGGATGAGAGGGCACCTAACCCGTAGTGATGATGAAAAGTAGAATAATTTATTATATAAATATTCAGGATTCTTGAATATTTATAGTGTCACAAACGCTCTCGAAACGTAACCGCGAAAGTGCTAGAGATCGAATTTGCCAGATCACCGCGGGTCGCGATAGAGGTCGAGTAATGCGGCTCATTCTAAAATAAGCCATATGCTGTGCGGCGCAAGGGAGAAAGTGCAACGACATCTGCACTTGTTTGGCGCCGCGCAGTGAGAGTTGAGTTTCAACAGCGATTTCGGAGCGAATCCAAAGGCGATCAAAGTGCAACAAAAGTGTTCAAGTGCGGTTGTTTAGAGACTTGTATAGTGTATGTTTAGTGAGTGTTCTGTGATTAACATTGTGTGTTAATTGTGTGGTGAATAAAGTACTGTCAAGCGTGAACTGGCATATAAATTCGAACCCCATCCCGACACGTAACAATATCATCGTGACACACAAGTACAGTTCTATGTTCTACTGAATGTACGAAACCGATCGCGTTACAACGCAACACGACAGATCTACGTATGTATATTTCTGCTTCAACCCAAGTCCCGTACAATCCGAAGTAGACAAAAACTAAATGGAGACGTAGATATTATGATTATACTAGACGCACTAGATAGAGGCGATTTTAATAAAAAAAAACAAGGAGACATTATTACTTACCGTATATCCTGTTGCGTAGACACACTTGTGGCATATACTCTACTTCCGTATACTCCACTTCCGTTTCATCCTTATAGATACTCAAAGGTTTCATCGAATCTCAAGTCACAACGCTACTATAGAAGAATTCATTTCAAAAAGCCAGAGCTGTGCTAATAATTAATATTAACTACCAACCGAAGGTTTATTATTTCACTATTCAGGTATTGTAATATACCGGGCAAACTTAAATCTTTAATATTGTTCCAAAAATTGCTAAAAGCGCTAGCGAAAAACATCAACTGAGCTCGGCATCGAATTACCGATCTTTTGGTATCAACCCTAAGACCGACTTCGTTCAGCTATCCGTCTATTGCGTGCGACGTGCTACAAAGTTACACCTACCTACCTATCTCGTGTCAAATACTCTACTTCCATATACTCTACTTCCGTTTCATCGAATCTCAAGTCGCAACGATACTAAAGAAGTATTTCTTCTTCTTCTTCTTC